GAAAGAGGACTTGGCTTCCAGCGTTGGGAAGGAGGGAAGGAGGGAGCTGAACCCCAGCAGCCGGGGAGGGGGGTTGATCCGGAGGTTCCCCTGGAGGGCGAGGAGCGATGCAGGGCTGGCCTCGGGGAGCCGCTGGGAAGCGTCGGGGTTGGGGCAGGGAATAACCTCCCGCACCCCCTTGTTGCGGTCAGTCCCCAAGCAGCAGACGGACGGAAAGGGCAAAGGCCTGGAGTACTACCTGTCCCAGTTCCTTTGCCTTGCCAGCTTCCTGCTGCTGCTGATTTTCCTGGGCATCCTGGTGGTGAAGATGATTGGGTCAGGCTGGCTTGACAGAAGAGAGGAGAACTGTATGTGCACCGGTTTAATCTTGTTTTTAAACTTTGCTCTTCACCTTTCTTCTCTGCTTTCCCTTTATTACTTCATTACTTATCATTGCTGTCATCTGCAATCTCTGCATCAGTCCCCATTTCCATCTCCCCTTGCCCATGGCAAACCTTGTTATGGGAAGGAAGTCAAGTGTGTGCTTTTTTTCAAATGAGTTTGGCCTTCAGTCCTTCAAAGCCGTGGGTTTTATGGACAGTGACATTCCAGCTAGGCCAAGGATGTGTTTTATGAGTGTCCATCGTGTAACAAAATGTCTGTGTGATTGCCCAGTGTGGGTTTTTAATCTTCACCTCCCCAAAGCAGCCCTTTGGTGGCCTTTCTCCTGGCCACATGAGAAGGACAGTAGTTGAGTTGGTAATTCAGCACTTGAAATGGGGCAGAGCTTCAATGAGAGATGGAAAAGGCCTTCCCCAACACCTGTTTTTTAAAGCTCCCCAGCTAGAGCAGATGGAAATACCATCATTTGGTGGCTTTGAACTGAAAGAGGAAGGTGTTTGGGGTGTGGTTGGGAAGTCCTGAAATGTGCCTGGAAGTGTTAATGCAGTTTGCTTGGGCTGGGAAAGCTGCTTCCTTAAAGTCAGAATAAAACTATCCAATGAATTTCTGAATTTTCTGCACCCTTTACTACTTTTGGTGTTTTGAAGCAAGAAATCTTGCAGGTAAATTCTCAGGTAGTTATGATGACTATTCTAAGATTCTCCTGCATGCTGGACTAGTGGCTGGTGTGCATCCAATTGCCAGGGCAGGAGGGAGCTGTTAAACCAGAGGCCATGAGCTGCAGAGCTAACAGCTCCAACTGAAATAAATCCCCTGCTTTTGCCTTGAGGAGGCTTGATTTAAATCCCTGTTACCACTGTGATATTTCAGGTGACCCTGGCGTGCAGCGAATGGCATTACTAGACTGTAAAAGAGGAGGTGAGGCAGTGCATAGTAAAGGAACATGAAACAGCTGCTTAAACAGGAGCTGTTAAAACATTCAGACCCACTTTTTACTTTTCAGCTGAACACTGTTCATCACTTGCATCCGTTTTATTTGCTTTGCTTTCAGTGCTGCCTACCAAAGCAAGCACTTTGACTGTGATTTTTGCATGGCAAGGTACTGTGCAGAATGAGATTAAGAAGAGCAGAATCAGCCTTGAAAGCAGAGCCTTCTTTTAAAGAAGATAATTACTTTCTTGATCAAAGCTCTTGTTTTACAGCCAGCTAACTCTCCCTCCCATTTTTCTTGTAGTTAATCTCTTGCCAGTGGATTGTGACAAAAGGAAGGATGATGTAAGCATTTATTTATTTATTTTCCAGTATTGTGGGTTGGGGATTCTCCCAGAAGAGTAATTATTCTAGGTGACTTCCACTGATATCAGCATCACTGTAAAATTATTATTTCTATCATTTTACAGAAAAATTGTGATTTGATGAGTTGGTATTAATGGGCCAGATTAAATTGGGGCTGTACATGAGACTCCAAAAGATAAAAATTTAAATTCCCAATTATGTGAATCATTTTCTTTAATAGAATTGGTATCAGTTTGCAGTAAAGCTGTGTTCAGCCTTAACAGTGTAAGATTTAATCCAGCTAATTCCCTGAATTCCATCATAAAGTGTTTGTAGAGCCCTGTTTCTCTTTTCATAGTCTGTGAGGAGGAGAGAGGAAATGTTGTGTTGGATTCAGAGTGATGGGTGGTCTCCTGTGATGTTCTGGAGACCAGGAATCCATCTGTGGCTGGTCAGAGGGGCTGTCTGGGGGTACAGTCTGGGCTGGGTGAGTTGGTGGCACTTCCAGAGGATGCCTCACCTTCCTTTTGAGTCAAAAACTGTAGATCTGTGCTGCGGAGGTGTTTCATTTGAACTAGTAGTGCATGACTGACCCAAACACTGGGTTTTGCTTGGGTATTTTTAGCTAGTTTCCTAGTTTAGCTGTTCACCTTTGTTACCTGTTTCTGACTTGCAGTTCTGTCAAGCTAAAGAGAAGGATGTGGTGATGAACGTGCTGCACGAGTTGTATAACTACCTGTCTGTACAAGCTGGTAAGTTCCGATTTTCATTATAGAGCTCTTAAGAGCATTCAGCAAACTGCTTGTCCCAGCTGTCTGGACACTTTTAACCTCAGTTTGAATAAAGGGGTTTGTGGAAGAGTCAGTTTGACTTGAAGAGCTATAGCCATGTAATAGAAAAATAGAAAAAGATGTGTTTATTTTTATTCTGAACAGTGTGTAGCTAATACACTCATATCACTGTGGTCTTGTGGAGTGGTCCTTATTTGCACTTGATATATTGAGAATCTGAGGTAGAAACATGGGAGTTTTATGGTTCTTTTCTAGCAGCATCTTAAAATTGTCTCAAGACACTCAGAGCCAGTAAGTGTAAGCTGATGTGTTCTTACAAATGAAGTCGAAGCAACTTAAGAAATTGTCAGCTTTGCTGAAATGTGGCAGCTGATCATGAGAGAGCCTCTCTTTTTTTTTTTTCTCAGCACAGAGTAAGACATGCCCTCTTAGCTGAGGAGCTCACCAAACACAGTGGTTCAGCCAGGCTCTTACTATGTATGAGCTAATCTGGTCCATCATTAGTGTTTTGTGATGCAGAAGGCTGCTGGAAATTCAGTGGACTGTGTAAAAAGTTGTTCAGCAAGATGTATAGCAATGTTACCCAGCAGAAGTGCTTAAGCTCCAGTTCCATGATTTCAGACCTCAGCAAGGCTCAAGCCTTTAGGTACTCAAGTTTCACATGATTTCTAAATCTTTTTCAAATCAGACTTTGGCAGCATTTCCACCAGGTTTACACAGTCTCTCAGCACGTTTGTTCAGTCAGCTTTGGGAAGCAAGATTTAGAAGATACAGTTCCTTGCCAGCATTTCTTTGCCTGGCTGAAAGGGTAGAGCTGTGATTTGTGCTCCTTAGAAGCATTTTGAATTCTGATCATTAACTCCAGCAACAGACTTCAATACCTGATGGAAGGAGCTCCTCTGCAGGGTGTTGGGTCAGAGGGGTGGTTATGCACTCTGCAAGGAGGAGAAAGAGTCATTTTTTTTCCCCCTCTCATTCTGTGTTGAGTAGCAGAAGGTTTGATTGCCCTTATCCAACCTGTCTGCAGTGGCTGACCACTTTATTAATAGTCATAACCTTATCTACCTACAGTATAAATCTTACCCTGCAATCATTTTGCCTAGAGCTATAGCTGATTTTAAAGGACAGCATTTCCAGCCAGTTCAGTGTATATTTCTGAACTATTTGAGGTCTTTTTATTTTTTTTCCCAAAACGTTATTTCTATTGGACTTTTTTTCTTTTTAACCAGGTAATTTTGAATGTGGAAACCCTGAGAATCTAAAAAGCAAATGCATTTGGGTTAATGAAGCAAAGGATCACGTTGTGGTGAGTAGGCTGTGAACAGCTATTGTTATAACAGTGCTTAGTCTCTTATAAGGCAATAAATAATAGATACTAAAGCATTTCACCATCTGTTTTACTTCCTCATCCTGTTTTGATTCTCTGCCATCTCTCCAGCTTCCCCTTTGGCCAGTCCTGCTCTCAGCAGTTTTGGTTTTTTTTTTTAAAAATAATCCCTACATCTCTGATTCAGCCCCTGTAAATCTTAACTTAATGGTTTGTTGTTTCACCATAGTCATCAGTCTTTTGAAACCAGAAATTTCCCTGGATTGAGGGCTGGGCAGAAGAAGGATTTTTCTATACCCCAAAGTGTCAGAAGACAGACTGCTTTGATCTAGCATTCCATTTCTTTCATGGTAAACTGTCAGTAAGATTATGTTGTATTTAGTGGTTAGTCTTAACAGTCTGGGATGGTGTTATTTTACAGAGTGCTTCATGCATCATCTACCACAGGCAGAAGACTTGAGTCCAGCCCTTCAGATTCAGTTTTCCTTTCTCCAGCCCTTCAGATTCAGTTTTCCTTTCTCCAGCCCTTCAGATTCAGTTTTCCTTCCTCCAGCTTGCAGATTTAGGATTAGAATTAACCTGGGGACAGACCCTATGGAATTAATTCCCCCACTAATGAAACAATACTTTTCAGTATTTTAAATTATTGTAGAACTGACCTTCTTAATGGATTCTTTTGCACAGAATATAACTGGTGGTTCCTCTCAGAAGTTTGAAGCTGCCCTGCACTGGATACTGAACAGTAACAAGGATTTAGGAATATGGTGAGTGGAAGTTCTCTGTGCCAGAGGGATGTGTCTTCCTGTTGGCTGAGAGATAATTTGACATCCTAAAAGCTCCCATACCTCGTTAGATTTCAGAAGATAATCTGGGGTTGGCTTTGTCAGTGCTTGCTGGGCAAACTTCCAAATGAGAAGGGCAGCCCTGAAGCACAAACTGGCAATGAGCTCATTCCCAGGGAGGCTGTTCCCGTTCCCAGGGAGGCTGTTCCCAGGCTCTGCATGGGGGGACATTGTGTTCACGGACGCACTGTCTCACAGGTGGGGTACGAGTCTGAGGTCAGGGCTGCTCTGTGGCCATCAGCAGTTGTGTTGTGCTTCCTCCAAGGCTTAGAAGTGATGGTCATGGTCTCCTGCCCATGGTCCTGTGACTCCAGTACCCTTCTTGAACTTGCCCGTACAGTAATTTTCTTCCCAAGGTGACTTCCCTTCAGTCCTGTTGCTATAGACAGAGCTTCAGTGTTGTGTAGAACTGCATCCTTTGACCAAAGGGTTTACTGAACAGCAGAGAAGTCTCTTTCAGCAGGCACCATCACATGTTTGGGGGTCCTTGGGAGCAAGTCCTGATGAAGAGGAGAGGAAAATGGATTTAGAATGGTGTCTTTTCTTTAGTGTCAATTGCCTTTCTGGCAGAACACCCAGTGCATGTTAAAGTGAACAGTAGGGTGTTGGTCAGTCATTGGTGGGGCTTTTTTCTCTTGGCTTTCTCAGCTAGGAGTCTCTTCAGGATGTGAGAAATAGCAGAAATACTGGGTTGTTCAGGTAAAAAAGATACACAATTCAGGCCATAACCTGGTGCAAGACTGTTACCCACAGTCCACAGACATTATCCTCCTCTGGGAACTGTGGGCTGCCTCCAGCCTATCTTAACTGTGAAGTCTGAAATTTGTTTGCATTCTAACGTTGCTAAATGTATCTCTGATTAAATGAATGGTAACAATAGTAACGCTGGAGTTGGTGGGAATTGCTGGTATGAATTCCCACTGCTCCACTTTTCTCTGGAAAACATTCCTGCAACTGCTGCTGTGATCTCCAGATCAGGCAGCGGCTGCTGCTTCCTTTGCTGGTGTGTGGCAAATTCCCAGGCCAGGTCAGTTTTTCCTGAGGTGGCATGATTGGATTTGTATGTGGGTTGGGATCAGATTTAGATGTTTATACAGGAGCTTTGCTCGTGTTGGGAGGCGTGTGATACAATATACTCCCATTTGTTAATTTTCCTAATGAACAAGCTCTGCCGGATGGATCCACTTGCACGGAGTCTCCGTAACGTGCAGCAGGAGTGCTCAGAATGCTTAAAAACCTGCAGGTGGCATTTTCTTAGCAAATGCTACGTGAGATGATTTTTCTAGGTGCTGGTCTGAGAGGCAGAACTGAAAATGAGCTCTACACCAGGTGATTCTGCTGCATATTTTAAATATTTTCACGGAATTTGGATTGTAAATAAGACAAGGGTGGGAAACATCTGTGTGACTCCAGCTACTGTAGAACCCAGTAACCAACTACAATCTGTCCTGCGAGTTGTGCACTGATCAATTGAGAAAATGTCTTTTATAGAATCATGGAATGGTTTGGGTTGGAAGGGACCTTCAAGATCATCCAGTTCCAACCCCCTGCATGGGCAGGGACACCTCCCACCAGCCCAGGTTGCCCCAAGCCCCATCCAGCCTGCCCTTCAACACTGCCAGGGATGGGGCAGCCACAGCTTCCCTGGGCAACCTGTTCAAGGGTCTCACCACCCTCACAGCAAAGAATTTCTTCCCAATATCTCATCTAAACCTCTCCTATTCCAGTTTTCATCCATCCCCCTCATCCCATCCCTCCCTGCCCTTGTCCCAAGTCCCTCCCCAGCTTTCCTGGAGCCCCTTCAGGCACTGGAAGGTGCTCTAAGGTCTCCCTGGAGCTTTCTCTTCTCCAGGCTGAACACCCCAACTCTCCCAGCCTGTCTTTGTCTAATGAGTTATTCATTACAAACCCAGAATGAATTAATAGCTTAAAGAAATGAAAGCCCTTTTAGTCCAATCACTCTGAAGCTAATGGCTCTCACTTGGATTACCTGGTGCCTGTTGCCTTAAGGAACCCACATTGATGTGGTTCTATGCCTAAATAAGTGAATTAAAAGCTTATCAGGGAGCATATCAGGTATGAGGAGGTGGTTTTGCAGGAGGATGTGCTATTGATTTTGCCATGGATGCATTCCCAGGGTGTGTCTGCTCTGGCTGCAGATGCAGTTGATGCCTTGTCACTTTTCTAGCTAAACTGTTTGTGCTGGTCTGTGCTGAAGAAAACAGCACAACCTCCACGGACACTGGCAGCCTCCCTCAGCTGTTCTGTCTCTGCAATTGCTGATGAGTGACTCAGTAAACATTTCCATTTCTCTGTGCTGGGAGGTGGGAATCCAATTTAAAGTTTAATCTTCTGCACGCTGAGAGGTGCTGTCAAAGAGTCTGCAGAGGGAGACTTCAGTTTACCAGTGGGAGTTCCAGCTCTGCTGCCTTTTCTAAAGCCATATCCATTCCTTGCTAAGAAGCCAGTCCCAAAATGTTCTGGAAAGAGGAGCTGCAAGGATGGTGGTTTATTTTCTCTGTGGTGTACAGAAAGAGTTACTGCATCTGCAGTCTGTTGTTCTCTCTGTCTTGATTAAAGACTGCAGTTGGAGTGTCTACTCTCTTCAGTGAAGATTTTCTGCCTCTTCCCATCAGGTTGAAAGGCAGGGACCTTTCAGAACCAGTTACCAAGGTGGAGGATGTGTTCTGCCTGGAATCAGCCCATCCTCAGATGGGGCTTGGCTGCCGTTTCCGTCGGGCAGTGGTCACTGCCATTATGAACCTTTTCCTGTTTTTCTGGGGTAAGTCCTCAGTGCTGGTACCCAGCTGCTCCCCTTGCTGCCTGCAGAGATGAACCTGTGCACACATGCCTTCTCCCAGCCATCTGAAATTACTAACAGAGGGGAAATAAATCTGCTGATGAGTTAATTTCTAATTAACCTTTGTTCTGGCAGCAAGGAGAGACCTGTAGACCTGCTCTTGTGCTGTGAGTGCTTGAACACTTTTAAATCAGGAAGCTGATTAGCTCTCTGGGTATTCCTCAAGTACTCATTGCTGTGGTCTGCAAAATAAGTATGTTAACCTACATAAAAGGGTTTTTTTCCTTTCTTTTCTTGCACTAAGCTGCAAAATCTTCTAGGCTTTTAAATAATGACTTGTAGCATTTCAGTCTTAGAGGTTTTATTGGAATAGTCTGTCATGCCCCAGCTGAGACAAGAGGTCTTTCTGAGCAAGGTGATAACAAGAGATGAGTGTTGACTGGGAGAGTTTATAATCTAACCAGACAAGGTGGAGGTGAAAGGAGATAGTTAGGTTTATTGTAGAGACTGAGATACTAAAGTTAGCTCCTGTTGTAATGGGGGCATTTATCAGTGCTAAACCTCCAGTGTAGCCCCTGAATTTTGGGCTGGCACTGGAGCTGCAGGCTTTATTTCCTTAGCAAGTAGTGGAGCTTGACAGGCTTCCTAAGTGACTGTTATGGGGGAGGCCTCTAGCAAAGAAATAGCTCTGGGAGTTGGAGAATTTAAACCCTGTGGTTGTGCTGAGGTTTCTGGTGGTGCTAGTGGGGGAAACCTCTGTGATAGGGCCTTCCAACTATCTCTCCCCACGTGTACTCTTGCTCTTCTGCTGCTGTCAGTGCTGAGGGGTTTCTGGTGAACAAAATTAATTGCTTGGATTCATTTCTGAGCAGGCCTGGGTGGCAGAGAGTAAGGGCTGCCTCTGGGAAGAGGCAGTGTCAGAAATAAACCTGCTAGCATCCAGCAGGTGCAGGACTGTCAGTTATTGAATTCTGTTTGGTTTTATTCTTCTAGGTCTGCTGAGCCTCTGGGGGATCCTGCTCTTCCTTAGGTATCGCTGGCGGAAGATGGCAGAAGAGGAACAAGCCATGTATGACATGGTGAAGAAGATCATAGGTAGAATCCAGTAGCTGTGTAAATGCAGGTAGCCCTGCTCTTCTCTCTGCAATGTTGAGGTCTCTCACCCTTTTGTCCTCCTGCCCTCCAGCTGTTGTCCAGGACCACTACAAGGAATGGGAACGGAATTTGGAACGTTATCCCTACGTTGGCATTTTCCACGTCCGGGACAGTCTCATCCCTCCCCAGAGCAGGTGAGCTGGCTCCTTTGCATTCAGCAGGGCTGTCAGCACCATGTCACTCAGCTCAGCTCAAACCTGCAGCTCCAGGGGAGCAGACCACGAGCAGACAATTGATGGGAAGTTGGACTGCAAGAAGAGTCTGTCTGGCCTTTCAGTTGAGGAAGGATTTTGACGTAACTCATGCCATGTCTTAACCTGCTGCAGATTAATGTGACAGTCCTGAGGCTGATACTTTGTGCAGTCACACAGGTGTATTGTCATTGTTCTGTCAAGCAGTAATTGGATTTTGTTTTGCTTGGGCATGGAGCATCTGATTTTCTCTCCTGCACCTAATGTGTGTAGGATGCTACCCCTTTTCTCAGCAGTCGTAGCTTATTCTCCAGACAGGTGCTGTGCTCTTCAGGACAAACCTCCTGAGGTGACTGGAATATTGGGAGGTTCTTCTGAAATGGTTGTGGTTGTTGCTGCCTGGAAATTCACCAGTTCAGGTCGGGCAGCTTTAAAAGGGGGAGATACAGTGTGAGATGGCTGGTCTTGCTCCTTTTTTGGAAAGGAGCTATGGTCGAGATAGTTGCTCCATGGGTGGTGGGGCCAGGGGGCTGCAGCCTGGTTCTCTGTGATTTTTATACCACTTGCTCCATTTCTGCAGGAATGTTTCTTGTGTTTTATTTAAATGGAGCTACTTTGTTCTCCTAAGGACACAGAACACTATGTGTGCTGCAACTCTTACATGTTCATGGTATCACTGGTAGGAAGAGGAGTTAATCCAGCTCTTTTGAACCCATCTCTATGTGTGTGGTGCCCAGAATTACTAGACACTGATCCAAAACTGAGCTCCAGTTTGTCCTCCTTGGTCTGAGCTCTCTCTGCATGCAGGAAGGGTGAGGGCAATTTGCAAGTGGAGCCACTTCATCATGCAAACTGAGCTTGAAATTCAGAACAGTCAACAACTACTGGTACCCACAGAGGGTCTCATCTTCTCTTCCCTCCCCAGACAGGACTTTTCTTTTCATGTCCTGGCCTGAAGTCACCTCTAAACCAGACTTCTGGAATAATCTCCTGTTGTGTCTGCAGAGGGAACAGGAGGCAGTGGTGTGATCAGCAGCCACAATTGCTGCAAGCAGGAGAGGAGAATGAGGATAAGATTCTCATTTCTTTTTGTTGCTGTTCCTCACAGGAAAAAAATGAAGAGGGTCTGGGAGAGAGCTGTGGACTTCCTGGCTTCCAATGAGTCACGGATTCAGACAGAGTCCCACAGGGTGGCAGGAGAGGACATGCTGGTGTGGAGATGGACTCAACCTTCTTACGTCTCGGATTCGGAGCACTGAAGAGGAGCAGAAGCTGAGCAGCTGTTGCTATGGACCTCTGCAAGGGGACAGTCCCTTCTCTGGTGGTGGGAAAGAGCAGGTCAAGGTCCTGATCTTGTAGAGTTGGGGTTTGCACTTATCTGTTTGCTCTTCTTTCTGAAAATCCTCACAGGCAAAAATTCAAGGCAATAACTTTGGCTTGGAAAGAAGATGGGCTTGAGCTGGTGGGAAGCTAGAATTGCACCAAAGTTAGTCTTCCAGGAGATATCTGGCTTCCATTGAAGAGCAAACCTGGAACAACTTTTTTAAAACAAACAAAAAAAAGAAAACAACATACCTGCTATTGAGGGATTTGGGATCTCTCTGGCAAAGGTGTTTAAAATTTGACCTCAATTCTGCAAAAGCCAACTGGTGGCAAAGTCCATCAGGGAATGTGTTTAAAGAAGATTAACATTTCCCATGGAAACATTAGGGTGGGAGTTAAGATGCATTTTGGTAGAATTTGTTTTTATCAGTACAAATGAAAGCACTTGCTGCTTCCTAACGAGGAAAGTGTTGGTGGCAGCTTCACCCTTTCAAAATGGGGGAGGGGAGGGGGAAATCAGGTGAGGGTATTCCTTGAGGGAGGGCAGTCTGAGGTGCCTTGGTGGTTTAGGTTGGGTTGGGTGGGATGGAGGAGTGGTTGTCACCCTGTTACATTCTTCTAAGTCTGCAGTCTGTGTGCTTTATGATTTTATTTTTTTTTGGGGGGGGGGCGTGGGGCATTTTGGGTGGAAAATAAAGGCTATAGGAAGCTTCCAAAAGTGCTTTCTGGTGGCTCCAGCCAAAGGGACTGCTTCATGGGCTCCCACAGAGCAGCTTTGGAAAGGCTTTTAGAGCTGAATGTACATGTTTCTCCTGGGCAGCTGCAATGTGTGTGCTGTGTGTCAGAGCAGAAATGTGCCACGTGTGGGGTGGCAGCACAGGGATTGGTTGCCAAGGCCATGTTCCTGCAGCCTCACCACAGGTCCAAGGAGCAGTGACCAATCCTCTGCTGGCCCTACAAGCTTTGTATTTTATATCTCTAATTATTTGCTTACTTCAGTTCCCTTTTTTTGTCCAGCAAATGAATGTTTGTTTTAAAGAAAATAGCACCAGTGTGTGGCAGTTTAGGCTTAGGGAGAGATGCTGCTGATCTCCTCTTCCCAGTGTTGGAAAGCAGATGTCCAGCTCTCCACTAAGGACTGCAAAGGCTTTTTCCCTGCCTCCTGCTGTGCTCCTCAGCCCAAAGGAGTGGAGAGAGGAGGTGGCTTCAGGAACAAAAACACAGGGAGGCCTTTCCCATTAAGTAGGAAATACCCTGTTGACTCTTACCCCATAGCTTCTTTTTGGTTGCAAAGGTTGAGTGTTTGAACAGAAGAGAAGACTCAGCAGCTGTCTAAAGACAGTGGCCAGCTTCTTCCACTGGTAATAAAACAGAGAATAAGGTGAAGGCAGCCTTGATCCTTCCAAAAGGTGGTAACAAGATCTTCAACTGCTGCCATAGGAGTTTTTGCAAACACCAGTGCCTACATTCTTAAGCCTTTTTAAAGTATTTGTGAGGTTTGGGTTGTCTTTTTTTTTTTTTTTTAACAGTCCCAATCCAGAAGTGAAGAGTCAGTCATTGCAGTCATCTTTTTGTATTAAACTCGTTTTTGTAGAATCAATTTCCCTGGCTTGGTGCTGTTTATATGTTCAATTTAGCTCTGTAAATCCATATATGAAATAAATTTATTACAAACAATTTGTTAGCTTGATTTGTATTAAGGAGGCACAGGTTGTCCCAAGGGCTTTTGCTCAGGCAGATCAAATAGATCCAGCTCCAGGGAACTCATGGTTTCTAGGAATGGAAATTGCAGGACAACCTAATGAGACAACATGGATCCCTGTGGCTCTGGGTGATCTCAGTACAAAATGTCAGAGCCTCGAGTGTTTGGTTGCAAATTAAACCTGTTCTGGGAATAAATGGCATGAAGTTGTGAAGAGCAGTAGCATTTTGTAGAGATTGGCAGCTGGGAGGGTTTGTGGGGCTGTAAATATGAGTTCGGGTTGAGCAGTGTTCATGAAGCTGTAATGAGCAGTTATTTAAAGCAGGGGATGGTGCAATAACTGGTAACAGGGCTGGTGCCTCAGGCTGGGCATGTTCTGGACTTGTTCTCTGAAAGGCAGATCCCGGGTCAGCAGAAGCTGCAGGAAACCCTGGCTCTGCTCCAAGCTGCTGATCCTGGCTGTTGTAGCATCTTCAGGCTGTGGTTGCCTTGCCTGCCTGTGGGATGTGATGGGAAGTGCCAGGTAGTGGTGGAGGATGGAATGGATGTCCCTTCCTGCCTTCAGACTGTTGCTTGTCACTGGACACATCTCTTCCCTCTCTGTGTCCTGAGGGTTGGGTGGCTGTAAGCAAGGCTGCTACAGAGCAGGAGGGATATTTATCACAAGGAAAAAGGCAAAAAGTCAAGTTTTAGACTATTTACCAGCTCCCCAAGGTTTCCAAGGTTGCCTGGTGAGTAGAAGACAAATGAGCACATCTTGCTGGCAAGTCTGAGTTGACTTCAGGCTGCTTTTCATAGAATCATAGAATGGTTTGGGTTAGAGGGGACCTTAAAGATCACCCAGTTCCAGCCCCCTGCATGGGCAGGGACACCTCCCACTGGATTTTCCCCAAGTGTTTTCAGTTCCTCTGTCACCTGAGTGTCACTGAGCCCTTGCTACCCGAGTTTCAACTTCTTCAGAGCCTGCTCCTGAAACACACGAGCAGTCCGTGACTCACTGTTGTGTCACTGCTGGGGACACACTTGACTCACTTGTGTTTGGTTACAGGAATGTTTAATTGGTCTCATAACGTGGGTCTGGATGACAAAGGGGAAGATCTCCACTGGCACAGAAGGAGGTTGGCCCCAGGCCTGCGCCTGTGGGATGTGATGGGAAGTGCCAGGTAGTGGTGGAGGATGGAATGGATGTCCCTTCCTGCCTTCAGACTGTTGCTTGTCACTGGACACATCTCTTCCCTCTCTGTGTCCTGAGGGTTGGGTGGCTGTAAGCAAGGCTGCTACAGAGCAGGAGGGATATTTATCACAAGGAAAAAGGCAAAAAGTCAAGTTTTAGACTATTTACCAGCTCCCCAAGGTTTCCAAGGTTGCCTGGTGAGTAGAAGACAAATGAGCACATCTTGCTGGCAAGTCTGAGTTGACTTCAGGCTGCTTTTCATAGAATCATAGAATGGTTTGGGTTAGAGGGGACCTTAAAGATCACCCAGTTCCAGCCCCCTGCATGGGCAGGGACACCTCCCACTGGATTTTCCCCAAGTGTTTTCAGTTCCTCTGTCACCTGAGTGTCACTGAGCCCTTGCTACCCGAGTTTCAACTTCTTCAGAGCCTGCTCCTGAAACACACGAGCAGTCCGTGACTCACTGTTGTGTCACTGCTGGGGACACACTTGACTCACTTGTGTTTGGTTACAGGAATGTTTAATTGGTCTCATAACGTGGGTCTGGATGACAAAGGGGAAGATCTCCACTGGCACAGAAGGAGGTTGGCCCCAGGCCTGCTGTGGGAGCTGGTGGGAGCTGGTTACCTCCTCTGGCATCAAGTTGTTGCTAAGGTATGGGAACAAAGAGGAGTGCAAGGTTAAATTTCTCCTCTGAACCTGCATTCTTGTTCAGATGCTGTTACCCAGTCTAGGTTGCTAAGTTACAGCTGAAATATATTCAAGGTTAGGAAATAATCTTCAGTTTGCTGTAATCACATGTGCTAGAGGACATTTGCTTTCAACCCAGCTGCCATGATGTTTCATGTCACAGTTTCCCCCCGTGTCCCTTCCTTCACTGGCTCTCCTGCCAGCAGAGCAGCCTGGTTTCATGCCACCCTCACTGCCCAGCTCCTACTGGCTCTGGACAAACTGTGTGGGTAACTGTGGAACCCAGCAGCTTTCCCAGAACCCCAGGTCCATCCAAGGAAAAGGGATTGGTGGGTTCTTCATCCCCCTGCCCTGCTCCTTCCAACTTGCTCCAGCAGAGTTGATTAAATCCCCCTCCCACTTTCCTGCAAAGTATTTTCTGTGCAATTCCCCAGTGCTGGGCTGATCAAGCCACTGCATCCCCTGGCTGGCAGGAAGGCAAACATGGAACAACTAAAATAAAATGTGCCCTTTATCTTTTCATTTCCTGCTTCCCTTTGAAGCCTTTTCACATGAAATGTTTTGCCTCCTGCTGATGTGACAGCTGATGTTGTGCCTTATTTATGGGGTGCAGAGTCAGGGCTTCATGCCAGTTCTCCTGGAAAGAGCAACATCAACTGGAGAGGCAGCAGCTCAGCCAGTGGGTCCTGCCCCCACTGCCTCCCTCTGGCACGTCCCTGTCTGGAACAATCACCTCCCAGTGCCTGCCCTGGGATTTCCACCTTGACTTCATTCAACCTTTGAATAATGAGCTCCAGGTAAGTGTTGCAAAAAGGGGTTTGTGCACGTTAATGAGCAGACAGCCTTGCTACAGGAAGCTGAGGGGAGACCTTGGTGCTCTGCAATGTGGGGTGAAGTGTGGGTCAGTCTGTTCTCCCAAGTAACAAGTGATGGCACAAGAGGAAAGAGCCTCTAGTTGTGCCAGGGAGGTTTAGATTGGATATTAGGAACAATTTCTTCCCCAAAAGGGTTGTCAGGCCCTGGCCCAGGCTGCCCAAGGCAGGTGGAGTCCCCATCCCTGGAGGGATTTGAAAGCCCTGGAGGTGGTGCTGAGGGACATGGGGCAGGGGTGGCCTTGGCGGGGCTCGGGGAGCAGTGGGACTGGAAGATCTGAAAGCTCCTTTCCAACCAAAATGATTTGAGGATTCCACAGCAGAGTGAGGTGTGAGTCCCATCCCCACCTCCCTACCCCCTGGGGGCTGCCAGCCCCTGCAGAGCAGACTCCAGCAGGGGGACCAGACCCCTGTGCTACCCCCACAGCAGCACCTGATTTCTGCAGAGACTCTTCTCTAGGGCTGCTGAGCTTCGGTGAGAAGCCCACGGGGCTGGGGAAGCCTTGCTTGTCTTCCAGCTTGTCTCTCCCAGGGCCAGAGCCCGGGCTGTGCTGCAGGAGCTCTCCAGGCTGTCCCTTCCCTGGCTCTTGGCAGAGCAGCAGCTCCCAGGGCACAAGCTCTGGGGTGGCAGGAGGACACCGGAG